GGGGCCCATGGGCCAAAGGGAGGGGCAAACCATCCCACTAAGGGGTTGTGTTCCCCCTCACCCTTTCCCACGTAACCAGAAGGGGTGGGGCGCTCCCCTAGGGCAGCTACCCCCATTGCCTTGGGGGCCAAGGCTCCGGGGGGGGGGGGGGGCGCACCAAAACCCATCTAGGGTTTTCCCCTGGTGGCCGCCGGCCCTCCTGGGGAACCCTAGGGCGCCCCTCCTCCTCCTCCCTTCTCCCTATATATAGAGGGGTAGGGGGAGGGCAGCCACACACATCTATGCCACGACGCTGCCCTCCCTCTCCCTCGTAGTCCTTCTTCTTCTCCGTGAGGCTTGGCGAAGCCCTGTTGAGATTTCTCCACCACCGCCATCACGCCGTCGTCCTGCCGGAGGACTTGAGGTACTAATTCACCATCGCTCGCTGGATCGAGGAGGTGAAGACATCATCAAGCCATACGTGTGTTGAACGCGGAGGTGCCGTCCGTTCATCACTTGGATCGGGAGTTTGCAGGACGGATCATGATTGGATCGCGAAGACGTTCGACTACATCAACCGCCTTTCGTAACGCTTCCGCTTAGCGATCTACAAGGGTATGTAGATGCAATCTCTCCTCTCATAGATGTTCATCTCCTATATTGATCTTGGCGAGCATAGGAAATTTTTTGTTTCCAATGCAACGTCCCCAACATATACCAGAATGACTTGTGCAACCATTTTGATCAAAATAACATTTTCTTTTGATGATATTTGTGTTTTCCACCCATCCTTGCACCTTTCTCCACAATCGATCTTTCATATATTTGAATGTCCCATTCTTAGAGTTACCCACATCAAACGTAAGGCCAAGGTACTTGTCACTGAGTTGTTCATTTGGTACATGGAGAATTACCTTTACCTCCTCTTTAATGTTATTTGGGCATCCCCTGCTAAAGAAAATGCATGACATATCTCGATATATACGTCGACCAGAAGCTTTAGCACAAGAATCCAACAAAAGAGTTACTTCTTCCGCCCTCCTCCACATTGCTTTGAAAACCAACAGGCTGTCATCGGCTAAAAAAATGTTTATCGGTAGTGTTGATGCTGTCACACTTAGGAAAATGATTAAACTCTGGATTTTAAAAGGCATGAAAGGCCCACTGCTGCAACAAAAACAAGCAAGGTGAAGTATGATCTCCCTGATGTATTCCTCTTGTAAACCCCTCAAGCTTATATCCATTAAATAATATTGAGAAAGAGATAGAACTGACCAACCCCATAACAATGACCAGTAAAACCAGTTTTTAACATAATAGTTGACAAATAGTTCCATTCCACGCAATCACATGCCTTCGTCATGTCCAATTTTCCACGTCGTCCTTATGCACTTGAGATTTATTCATAAAATGTAAACACTTATATGCCGAGAAAATGTTATATATAATTATACGACCAGAAACAAAAGCAGACTTCTTCCAAAATACTCTCAGGAAGCACCAATTTCAACCGATTGGGCAAAACTTTGGAGGCAATTTCATAAAGCACATTGCACATCCTAACTGGGCAAAACTAAGAGACTAAAGTGGGATTCTTTACTTTAGGGATTAGAACCAATATAGAATTTTTAATTTTTTCGGCATTCTCCATCCCTTCAAAATTATGAGGACAACTTTAGGTACCTCAGCACTACGGATATTCCAATGACGCTGAAAAAACAGGGATGGAAAATCGTGAGGCTCTGGCTCATTTGTTCGGGTACATTTGGAATTATGCTTGTTTAACTTCATCCTTGGAGTAGGAAGTTGTCACCATCTCATTCATGTTAGCAGTCATCTTTGTAGGTACCATGTTAAGAACCACGCGTATGCTCAGACACCCTCAGAAGTATACAAGTTTTTATAAAAGCTATTATCCAAAGGGAATAATATAAAGGGTTGGCGGTGGACAACGGGTCTGGTCCATGAGAACACTTCATGCCAAAATAGAGAACACACAATTTGTTATTGCATGCTACATTTCGCGCCTTGGGAGTTAGTAAATGGTCCACCATCAGTCTTGTGAGGTGATCCAAATAGGGGGGGGGGGTGACTTCCATTTAAGCTTCAAGACTTTGACACATTGCCCCCTAAAAGACGATGTTGTTGCAAGTCTTAGAAGTGAACCGGTCGTCGGGCATCCATAGTCAAGTCATGATGTCTGGCGATGCCGAGAACTGCACCATATGGGCCGATCTTCATACCCAGATGTATTGTCACATCATCATGGGTCTTATGGCACCTCCTATGTCCATAATCTAGTGCCTAACAAGGGCGGCCTCTGGGGAGGTTTGACATTTCTGAATGTGCCCTGAGATAAAGAGGGAAAGTTCGGATGCCATATCGAAGGTAAGCAACAGAGTTAGGAATAAATCATGTACAAGCTAAACCGCTAAGACTTTTGGCTCTAGCGCCTAAGTTAAAATGTATGCTTGGAGATGTCTTTAGTCGACCTTATTTTCTAAATAGAACTTTATATTTTGCCCCATTCATCCTAAGATAATTATGCTTATCTTTTTCTTCTCCTCTCTAAGTCACATATATTTCTATTCTGGAAGCCACAGTTTGGCATCATGCACGTGTCGCGAGGCTATTTTTCTTAGTGCAGGTAATATTTTTGCCGATAGCGAGACATCTACAATGGCAATGTCGAAGCTCTACGACTTCAATTTTGAGTAAACACTATACAATGTGTGCATATATTGGTATGTATGTACTTGTATTGTTATATTTTCTTTGTACTAACTTTAGTACAAAGTTGTACTAAAATTAAGACACTTATTTTAGAGTGAAGGAAGTATTTGATGTGTCTCTTTTTGTTGATAAGTTTTTGAAATAGCGTACTAGCCATGCCGAATGGTTATTTGATGTTTCTTAAGGACAAATGACAATTAAAATTCAGCCACGAGGTTGATCGTACCGATAAGAAAGAACCTTCATAGCATTCTTTTTATTTGAGTGAAAAGAACCTTCAGAACATGAATTGGCCGTGGTAGGTGGTCCACGGCTAGAATTCTCTACCAGCTATCAGTTCCGGTAAATCGACCACTTAAACCTGCAAGAATTTCATGATATCTTGGAAAATTTCACGGATCACAGCAGCATTTGAGTTATCAAAAAATGCTAAACTTAGAGCATCTACAACCGGACTTTGCAAATCCGCCCCTCAAACGTCCACGCGTCCGGGTGCGTTCACAGACACCGACTGGGTACTCCCTAAATCCGCGTCTCCACACCCTCGTATCTCATATCTGTCACCCTCTATCTATACAAATTCATGTAACGTAGTACGTAGATCACCAAACGATCAAAATCGACAGGAAACAGACATATAAACCGATACCAAACAGGCATAATTCCCATAAACATCACCAAACAGGCATAGTTCACACAGTTCAACGAATCAGGCACATTGTAACTACATACTAGAGCTAGATTACGTAAAAGGAGAGGGCGAGCTTCACCACTTCCTCGTGGGCTCTTTGCCCTTCCAGTCGCTGGTGCTGCTGTAGGCGTCCATAGCAGGAGGTGGGTCGACGTTGGAGTCGAACCCGTCAGAGGAGGAGGAATCGGAGATGACGATGTAACCTTGCAAGCGTCGGACGATGCGGTCTTGCTTGCGCTTGGCCACACTCACTGCCTCCGCCGCTGCCACCACTGCCTCCCGCTCGGATTGCTCAATGCCGAGCCGGTGCTACTTGGCGTTGATCCTCTGAAGCCGCCGGGCGTCCGTCTCCACCGTGGTAAGTGACCGACGGTACACCCACTGGAGGAGACACTCCTCCTCGTTGGGCACCGACATCACGCGGCGGTGGCGGGCGGACTGCGCAGCCACGTCGGACCCGTCTCCATCTCCCTTGCCCTCTGTCTCTCGCGGCGGGTGGCGCGTGCCTCCGACTCTGGAGTCCGCATCCGCGACGCGGAGTGGGCACTAGAACCCACTGCTGCCCCCGCGTGGAGCAGCGGGCGGAGGTAGAGGAGGCCGTCGGGCGGGGGGAGCAGATTGGGCAGTCTGAGCAAATCCACACACGAGGCGGGAAGGGCCGACGCCGGCGTCGGCGCTACAACGAAGATGGCAGGAGGCGTCGCACCGGACCCGGAGCTGCCGTCCGTATCGACCTGCGTCCGCTCGAGCGCGATACGAAGCGCTAGCTCGTACTCGTCTCCGAAGTTAGCCGTCAGAGTGGTTGCCGGTGCTTGACATGCTTGCTGGCGCTAAGGATTGGACAGATTGGGAAAAGGGGAGCGCCGGAGAGCGGAGCGGAGCAGAGTGGAGTGAGCTAGGGTTTGCTTCGGAGGGGGATTTTATGGGGTTGGGGTGGGCCTGGGTCAGGCTGACGTGGCGGATGCGCCCGGGCCGCTTCATATCCGCCTTATATAAGCCTGAACGTTTTGTTCGTGATCTGGGAGCTTTGATTGGGTCGGCTTTTTGCGACCGGTTAGTGACCGAACGGTTCTCTTGTACACTTCCACGAAATTACGACATCCTCCCATAGGAGAAAACCAGCCCCTGTGTAAATGTGAATGGACACGGGTGAGAAGGCGAGCCAGAAGTTTCGGAGAAGCAACGACAGCTGGTCGTCTCCTCCTGCCGTTTTAACCGATCCTCGGCCTCTCCCGCGGAGCGCAGCCGCGTTGAAAAGGCGACCAAAACCTGACCCCCCAACGCCAAAGTGCGCCCACAGCGCAGCGGCATCTTTTTTTTTTTTTTTTTTGCGAAGGAGCGCAGCGGCATCTCACATCACTCCTCCCCCACCCCACCACCATCGCCGCCACCACCGCTCCAGCTCAACCTCGTCGCTTCCGGAACAACCAAGGCAAGCAATCCAATAGAAAAACAGCGGCGGCTCGGCTGGCGGAGGGAGGCAACCACCACATAGACCAGCCCGCGCCGCGCAGCCACCCCGCCAAGCAGAGCCAGCAGCCCGAGCGCGCCTTCCTCCGAGGCGAAGCGCCGGCGCGCCGCGGGGAGGCGGCCAGCCATGTCGGTGTCGTGCGGGCTGGAGTGCGTGCTGTGCGTGGGGTGCGTGCGCTGGGCGTGGAAGCGCCTCACCTACATCGGCGCCTACGACAGCGAGACCTGGCCGCCCGCCTCGCCCGACGACTTCGAGCCCGTCCCGCGCATCTGCCAGATCATCATGGCCATCTCCGACGACCTCGACAACCCCAAGCTCATGCCGGCCACCCGCGGCTACACCCAGATCGACGGCGCCGGCGTCCACAAGCGCACCACCTACGACGAGGTCGGCACCGCCTGCCCGCCCTACATCGTCTACGTCGACCGCCGCCGCAACGAGGTCGTCCTCGCCGTCCGCGGCCTCAACCTCGTCCGCAACGCCGACTACAAGGTCCCGCGCCCGTGACCCGCCTCTCATCCCCGATTCCAGCAGCCCAGGGTGAATTTCATCTCCGCAGGAATGGAATGTGAACCCGTTCGATTCCTCCCTTCGTTGCAGGTCCTGATGGACAACAAGCTCGGGATGCAGATGTTCGACGGCGGCTACGTGCACCACGGGCTGCTCAAGGCGGCCCAGTTCATACTGGAGAGGGAGACGGAGACGCTGCGGGAGCTGCTGCGCCAGCAGGGGCCCGATTGCAAGCTCATCTTCGCGGGCCACTCGCTCGGCTCCGGCATCGCCGCGCTCATGACGGTGCTGGTGGTCAACAACCGCAAGGCGTTCGGCAATATACCCAGGAGCCACATACGGTGCTACGCGCTCGCACCGGCCCGGTGCATGTCGCTCAACCTCGCCGTCAAGTACGCCGACGTGATCTACTCTATCGTGCTGCAGGTACCAGCTGCCCCGTGGTCAACCATTACCTACCTGTTCAATTTTGCTGCCTCCGAATATTTTGACTGTTAGAATTTTTTGACCCGGACAATTGGAAATTGGAATCGTTGGGGTGAGAGGAGGGGGAGCGATTTGGTCAAATGTGCTTTGCTTGTGGCGTGATTGGAATGTCTGTGAAAGCTGGACTAGTTTGATTGTGCTGAACGTTAGGAATTAGGCAGCGGGAGTTGTGCTGTGAAGAAAGGTGCTCTCGCTGATAGGATTAGATTATACAGCAGAGTATTCTTTCCTGCTGCTGTTCTTCAAAAAGCTAGCTGACAGTTTACAGTAGAATATCCTTTAACTGCTGTACTTCAGAAAGGTAGCTCATATGAGGTTTACTGATATCTGGCTTATGACTGATATGGAAATCAACTAAGTTAACTGTTTGCCATGTTGCCTTGTTGGGTGAATTCAACTTATTCTACTTTATTTTTTGAGAAATCAATTAATTCTACATGATAATTTGTAATTGGTACAAACTGTATGTCTGGAAATGGAAATTTGGATCGTATGCCTGACCACATAATGTGGTATTGTGGTGCTTGAACTTGTTCCACTGCTATATGTTGAAATTGATTTATTGGATGTCGTACTATTTCCTTTGTGAAATTCGTTGATTCCGAACAGGTGAATAGCTCGTGAACTTAACTGAATTCTAGTTTGTTGTGTGTTTTTCATTCTGTTCCGGTTCGTATCCAGCAGACCTTGTATGACTTTATTGCTTAATCAATAAAATGCTGACTTTCAAAAACCGATCCTCTCTAGTTGTTGTAACCTTAGAAGTTACCATCTGTGGCACTAATTACATAGTAATATCATCTGATGCTCATTTTATCACTATACGATGTCTTTTGCCAGGATGATTTTTTGCCAAGAACACCAACACCATTGGAATATATTTTCGGCTCTATATTCTGGTAAGTAGTCCCCTGTTCTCTTTCTCCTTGTAGTTCAACTTTCCGCCAGTAAAAAAGGATAGAATAATGGAATTTTTCATTTATGCTTTGGACAGCTTGCCCTGCTTGTTATTCCTGTTTTGCTTGAGAGATACATTTAAACAAGACAAGAAGAAGTTTAAAGATCCAAGAAGATTGTATGCTCCTGGTCGGATGTATCATATCGTCGAGAGGAAATTTTGCAGGTAATTGATGCGCTTGGATAGTCGTTGCTAGTTATTAGTTAAGTCATGTTGGTATGCTGTAAATGATGAACCTGTTATTAGTTAAGTTTCAGGCTGTGTGCTGGTTTGCTCATCATTAAGCCTTTTTATACTATAAAGGATTCAGTCATCATGGTTTTTGGAAAAGTATGCAACAAAGCTTCAGCACTTTGTTCTTCCAGAGCAAGGAAGTTCTAGCCGTGAATAGTTTCGCCCACTGCTGTTTTATTGCACACATTTTCAAAATGATGAAAAATATATATATGCTTTTACATTGATTGTTTAGATTAAGCAAAGCAAGATTTCCTCAGATTCATTTTGTGTATCTTTCCTGGTCAGTTAAATGAATTTAGTAAACTATGAACATAAGAAAATAAAGGTATAACAGTTGGAAAAAGAAGTATAGAATACTGAAGCATGGTCCACGACAAACATTTCAAAATTCATATGACAAAGGCTACTATCTTTTTCATCACATTAGTTAGAAAATCAGTTTTATGTGGAAAAGTATTCATGCCAGACCTCTTTGAGAACTTTTGGAGGAGTCTCATCCTCAAGAACTCCTACGTGGTAGTTTCATTTATAACTTAAAGGATTGTACTCTATAAATTTTTCCTAAGAGTTTCTTTGCACCATATTCGTATGAAAAATTATACTGACTAATACCTCTTGAAAAGATACCATTTGTGTGCAAAGTCATGTGGTATTCAATCCTACAGGATTCATGTCAATCCGACATTTAAAAGAAAATTGTGTTTTGAGGTATCCTGCAAATCAAAGAGATGATCCAGTTACAGTCTAATATTTGCATGACCGATAAATTTCTTTGTGAGCGAAAACAAAATTTATTTCTGTACTCTTTACATATGAAGATTATAAAATAGTGAACGTTTAAGCGATTTCTAATAGCTTTCCCACTTGGAGAATATGATAACGTAACCATTACTAATTACATTACTAATTTGTAGCTGCGCAAGATACCCACCTGAGGTGAGAACTGCTATTCCAGTGGAAGGAAGGTTTGAGCATATTGTGTTATCATGCAGTACCACTGCTGATCATGGCATTATTTGGATTGAGCGAGAATCCGCCTTGGCTTTAGAGGTACGTGCACTTGTCACAGCTTGTGAACCATGAGCTTCAGAGTGATGGCATAATTATTTGGTTCCTAAATGCAGTCTTGCATGTCAATGTGATATTATGCAATATGTATTATGCTTGGGCCTATTTAGTGATATTATGGATTACATGCGTGGGTATGCGTCCTAAAATGTTCAAAGCCCCCCGCCCCCCTGACCGCCGCCCTCACATTGGGCTTTCGTCTTGGCTTAAGCACAAAAGGGTTAACCTAAGTGCCATGTTTTTGGGCCAACATGCACTTTATGCCAGTATAACTTCATTTAAATTTCCAATATTTGGACTAAGGGTTGATCTGTTGCACTTTTAGGCTTCATTGTTTGCTAGGAGATCAACTAATAATTTTTCCATACATAAAACCATAGTTAAAAAAGGCGCACCTAAGCGAGCGCTTAAGCGCGCCTAGGCTCTAGGCGTTGGCAAAACGCATTGCGCATAACTACGGTTAATCTGTGCATAACTGCGCATAAGCATGCGCTTTGGTCAGTAAAGCGCAAGGCGGTGGCAAAACGCACAATTAACGCCTAGCGCTTTCTTGAACTATGCATAAAACAACGGCCGGGCACCAAGTAATTTTCCTTGCTTCTCCAAGTGACAGTGGATTTCTGAGGCCTTCTGCACTTAAGTTTGGAATTGTTAACTTGTAGTTGGGTGTACATGTTTGAGAGCCTTCCACATTTAGGTTTTGAATGGTAACTGGAAGTTAACTGTACATGTTCAGAGCCTTCTAAATTTAGGGTGTGTTTTGCTGGTGCCCAGGCCAATCCCTCCAAAATTTTGGCTAGCAAAGGTTTTGGCTGCCCATGTTTTGGTCAACTATGTCAGCAGATTGCATTGGAAGTGGCCAAAGGGGCATGGGAGTTGCCAAAAACCATCCAAATAAAGGCCAAATATTTGTACATGACCAGAAAGTTGGTAGGGTATGGATACAAACCAAACTAAACCTTATCCTTTTCCTTCCTATTTTTCTTATATTACTTTTTCTTGTGCACACTTGGTTTCAGTGAGAGATAAATTAAATTCGAATTGGCATCATGGTGTTCTGTAGGACATAATGTACATCTTCCGTGGAATAGAATAGAACAATCGACCAAACTGTTTAGATATACTCCCTCCGTCCGGAAATACTTGTCGCAGGGATGGATGTATTTAGACGTATTTAAGTTCTAGATACATCTATTTTTATCCATTTCTCCGACAAGTATTTCCGGACGGAGGGAGTACATGGTAAGCAAGCTCTTTATATGCAACATTGTTGATGCATATTTGGAGTGCCAAATCACTTAACTGTTAATCCTTGGTGTCTGTAGCTTGTTTCCATTGGCTAAAACTAAAGAGACTAAACATTGTAATACGCAATCGTTAGTTGGAGCATTGATTTCTTCTGTTCCAGAGTTGGTATTTATTTCTTTATTTATGATTATAACTATGTGTTTGTGCAGCTAATGAAGGAAAATGAGAAGGCAACAACTCCTCCTGCTGAACAAAAGATGGAGAGATTGCAAAGTTTCAAGGAAGAACACAAGAATGCGCTCCATAGAGCGAAAACCTTGGATGTTCCTCACGCGATAGACATCTCTGAAGAGGAAACCCATGAGGGCGCTTGCCCTGCGCCATCCTCTGACACTCACAGCGAGACGACTTCATCAGAACCGAAATCTGCAGGAAGGACCAGTTGGGATGAGCTGGTTGACAAGCTTTTCACCAGGGATGAAGATGGGAAGTTTATTGTGAACAGGGACATGGTGGCGAGGGACGTTGTTATCGAGTAGTGACGGGTACCATGGCAACTCATTCTTTTCGCCAGCCTTATACAAGAGTGTATAGTGGTAAATCATGTTTTTACCTTCGCGGAATTTTCTTTTTTTGGCGACTTAGAGAGAAAAGCAGTCCCAAATGCCCTAGCGCTTGTGCATATGTAGATTTCATCTGCGTATTCTTGAGTCTGAAATGTCATGTACGTTGGTTAATGCTGCAAGTATTGTATATCGTCTCTGAGTTAAGAGTTGGATTTTGTTACGTTTGTGTGCGTTGCCTTTGGGCCTTGGTGATCCACTCCGGCTCTATTCATTTGTCGATGAAAGATGTTCTCTTCTAGAGAACATGGGATGATGCCTACAGAGGGAGTATGTTGGACTTTAAGATCGTGGAATCGTGCTACCGTTAGGATTCAGAATCTTGTCACTCGCTTCTCGCTTGGCCTCAACCTCATGCACTGGACCTTGCGCAGATCTTGTCCTGGGTCAACAAGAATTTTTCGATTTTTGACAACCTTTCTTCGGGAAGAGATAATGCATATACCTATCTGGAAACAGAGCAGAAGTACTAGTGCAGGAGCGCCATGTTGTCCTGGGTTAACAAGGAGCGCCAGGTCTGTCTATGTTTCAACTGGCAAGCTGCAAAATAAGGATTGTTTGACCAATTTTTTTTATGATTCAGTTAGCTTTTTAAATACTCCCTCCGTCCCATAATATAAGAACGTTTTTTAACGTTTTTTACACTAGTGTAGTGTTAAAAATGTTCTTATATTTTGGGACAGAGGGAGTACATTGCATCTCCCAGAAGGATCAGGCTTTAGTTTTTTTTTTTTTTTTGCCACAGCTTGAATTTGCTCTGGAACTTGTGACCTTGAAATAGTTCTGCAGATTATCACGAGCAGTGAAACAGTTTTGATTTACAAACATAGTTACTACTACTTATCTGCGGTTGTCCAGATCATAACTGCATCATGCTTGCTTATCTGAGCCTAATACAAAAGGATAAGAGCAGTTTTAACATGGTCCATCACAGGAAACAGAGCAGAAGAAGTAGAGCAAACGCAAGGTTCAGAAAATACATCACAGGAGCAAGAACAACGACAACAACAGTTTTAGCTTGCATGAACAAGTGGAGCAAATTGCTCAGAGGTACATGTGTGGCGATCGTACAAGGACGAACTAATATATCAGCCAGCGAGTATCCTCGTATACACTTTGAAAGCAATTTCAACATCGGACTTAATGGACACTTGCAGACGAGAAGAAGTTGTTGTGTCCTCCAAGCGATCCAGCGTGAAGATTGTCCCTCTTCTCCTTCTCGAGCGCCTCTTCGGCCTTCCACGCTGCTTCAAATGGATCGAAGGAGCACGGCTGTGGTTTGAACGAGTGGTCGTGTCCCTGAAGCGATGGAGCGTCAAGATCCGACGCGGCATTGTACCTCTTCTCTTTGTCAGCATCATGGAAGGCAGGGTTGTGCATGGCCCGATCCTCTGATCCCGACATTGGGTAAGGGCAATCGGACTGCAGCATGTCCTCCAGCATGCCTTGGTCCAAGGTATCCAGGTACAGAGGTTCCTGTTGGCCCATCTCCACGCCAGTGTTGGCTCCAGTGACCGTCTCAACCTCAATTGGGTCGTCTTCCATCATTCTCATTAGTTCTTCAATGTCAAAACCATCTGCCTCCCCACCCGGCAAATCGGAAAGAGGCTCCAATGGCTGAAAGACATCCTCTTCATATGTGCTCCTTGCAATGCTTGAGCCAGCCTCAGGAACAATCATCTGTTGTTGGCTGTAATTCTTGACAGACTCCAGCACATCTGACTGGGAGGAAATCTCAGTAGCTTGAGCTTGTCGCTGCATATTATCTGAGGAAGAAGCAACGCCGGAGTGGTTGGATGTTGTAGTGGACTCGCATGATGCTGAAGGACCTTCGATTGACGCTGGTATATCCAGAGCATCTTGAACAGGGAAGATGGTACGAGCCAGCGGGCCATACATTGCACTCGCTGCCTCATCATACGTCAAGAACGACGGTGGGGCAGGTGCGGGGACAGGGACTGCTCCTCGCATCCTCTTGTTGGGGCGCGGCGGATGAGGATCGGCGGCGGGAGCTATTGCTGGCCTCATCTGTGCGTGCATGCTCGCAGTCACGGCCTCTGGTTGCCGTTCTGCTTGATGCTTGTACGCGGCTGATTCCTGGCGGGCCGCGTCAGGAGGATGCTGAGCCAAGTGGATCTTGCAGAACACCTTCACCCCGTCGGCGACGACGGCCTCTGGCAGCAAGCATTTGTACTCCTCCATGACCCAACCGGTGGACTTGCCCTTCTTCCTGAACGACAGGTTCTTCCTCTCGCCGACCTCGACTCCGGCGTGTTTGACGGCCGTGGTAGCGTTGACGGTCCAGGTGCCGCCGCCGGCGGTGCGCACGCTCTGGGTTTTGCTTCCGTTCTTGCTCTTGCGCGTGGTGAAGAAGAAGCGGTCGCCGCTGCTGGTGGCCTGCGGCACGGGCGCAATCCGGGCGGCCAGATCCTTGGGCTCGCAGCTGTAGATGTCGACGTGGTGGATGAATTTATCGGCGCCGTGCAGCGTCTGGCCGGCGATGAGGCGTGGCAGGTAGTAAGTCACGGCGTCCACATCTGTAGGGTTCAAGCGGTAGTGCTGGTACACGTCCAGCCCTTCCATCCTGCCCGGCGGCTGCCCAAACTGGTGCTTCGCTAGCTAGCTAGGAAGGGGTTGATGGGGAGCGAGGGCGGGCGATTGGGATCTGGGAGAAGAGGTGGCCGGCGATATTTATAGACGATGGACTTGCAGGCGAAGGAGGACGCGTCAAATTTCCAAATAGAAACACGGACGGTTTCCTTTTTTCTGAATCCGATTCGGTCCCCAATTCCACGTCAATTTTCTGAAACCTGGGGCTTCCGTTTTGGCGCCAACGCAGAAAATACAGGTTTTGGCGGCACACAGAAACCTCTGCTAATCCACACAGGAAGCACGCAAAATCTCACCACTACATTAGATCGCCCAGATCAATCAGGAACAAGATCCTTGGCAGAAGCGCATCAGACAAATTCAACCTCAGGTGGAAGAAGGAAATTTTGCAATCTGGAGGACAAGTGCGTCAAACGGACATCAGGCAGAAGCAACAAGCAAGTATCAAGCGACCTAGGGGCATTTTGTTTCCTATATGGCTTCTCCAAACATTGGTCCTGGGAGCCATGAGGCTTGTGATGAATATCAAGGACAAAATGTATACTTACTCTTCATGATCTCGTCGATTGCTTCGTATAGGATACTATGATAGAGCTACATGAAGTGACTAGACATGTCAAAATAGAGCTCTTTATATGAGCCACTGGCCTGCTCTTTTCCATTCTGCTGGCCTCAGCCTGCAATTTAAAGTAGATAGGTATTTCATTCAGAAATTGTACAAAAAGAATCCTTCATACTGGAACAAATCATAGCTCATCCTGGAGGTGCTTACTAGTGTTTCTGAGCTGCTCAGAGAGTCATAGCTGCAAGGATCATCTTGCAATTGCAAGTCATGGCTGAAGAAAATAAAGCCACTTTTGTGGAGCCCTGTGTTGCTAGGCCTGTAACAGTAATGAACATTGAGTACTGTTCAGTATTTACATATTCATTACACAATACGACTTACAGAATTCCTGGTGACTATGATAAATATCAGAATACTCTTATATGTTCCTGAAGAATGCCATGTTTGACCTTAGGCCGATATCTTCTGGCCTCATCATGTCTGCAAAAATCACCGCCATCAGCTAATTAAAATTCAGTTGATTCAACCAATGCACGACATCAATTTTGTGCAAGCCATTCCCATTTCCGGCGGGGTGAGCTATGGTACCGAGCATGGCGTGGACCAGGGCCGTGAATACGGCGCAACACACCTGGAACTGGAAGATCCGCTGGATGGCGGCCGGCCTTGCGACACGGCCTCCACCCTGCCGCCGCCGTAGCGGTCCTCAAGGACGGCACGGCCACCACCCGCCTCCTCTTGGCCGGCGGCACGGCATCCCCCGCCCTCACTGACCCCGCCGAGATCCACCATCCTCGCCCCCATCGCAGGCAACTCCAGGACCCGGCATTGTCGGCATCCAGGATGGGGGCGGCACCACCGCGGCAGGCCGGCAGTGCGACGGGGCGGCTCGTCCCTCACGTCGACCTCCTGCTCGAGGGCGCGGCCCGGGTCTGGTCCGATTCAATCCCGAGATCGTGCTACGGCAGCCTGGTTTGGCGGCGGGGAGAAGTGGCTGGCGAGGGGAAAGGAGAAGGGGCGGCGACGGGGCGACATGGCCGTAGCTAGGTGTGGAATATGGTAGGGGATAATCCGAAATATCTTATATTCGCATTCGGAACTAAAATGAAAATCAAAATTATCCGTATCCAGATTTATTTAAAAAATAAATATGGCATGAGATTTAACACAAATATAAATATGGAAGTGGACATATCCGTATCCAAATAAGATTATGGGAGGAAACAAATAAACTGACCCGCTGCATTCTGTAATGGCAAACCTGTCGTTATAATAGTAAAACTCTTCCTCGAAGCTAGCTGACGCCTCCCAAGAACCATAGCTTTCTATCTCCCACTAGCGCCGACGCCGGTCCATCCCGTCTTCGGTGGCCCTATGGTCATGGAGGCGGAGTGGATCTCGGCCCTTGCCGGTGGGAGGGCTCCGTTTTTAGATCTTTTTTCGAGCCTTGTTAGGATTTGTGTCCTGATCAGGAAGGCAAGACGGTGACGGCTCCCTGAAGATGTAATAAAGGTCTCCCCTCCTAGCCCCCGTTCTGGTGATGTGTCTTGCATCATCGGTAGGCGTGTGGAGTTGTGTCCCCGGCGGATCTGTCTCTGGTGGATTTGCTCGGATCTGTTCGTCGTTCGTCTTTATTCGTGTGTTTTCAGGGTGGATCATTTTGATCTACACTCTTCATATGTGGCGGTTGCTGTTCTGATGCGTTGGTTCTACGGGACCTTAGCACGACGACTTCCCGAGTGTCTACTACAACAAGGTTTGCTTGGCTCCGACGAGGAAGGAGCGATGACAGCGGCGCGCCTTCGGCTCGCTTTAGTGCTTGTAGTCATCGCTAGGTGTTCTACATATCCAGATGTAATTTTTATTATTTTTAGTGCTCGTTGTACTACCATGATTGAAGATGAATAGATTGGAAGTTTTTTCTGGAAAAAAAAGAATAAGATTATGGGAGGTGATTTTCAAAATTCTAGCCCTAATACGCCAAATATCCAACATAAAAGCCAGATAATTTGTCAAATTTCACTCTTTGTATAATTAAACTTAGAAATTGTTATGCATTATAGTATTATTTATTCATAAGTGTATTATCATTGACTTATTGCATGTCGGAAGTTGATTATTTCATGTCACATAGCTATCGATTAATTTTCTTAAGCAATATGCCGCTATTATTCGTATCTGTTCTGAATTGAGTAAACATCCGATATGTATCCGTAGTCGAGTAACATCCGATCCGCATACGTATCCGTAGCATCTGTATTCGCATTCGTATTCATTTTGAAAATATGAACATGGAAATGATAAGAGCACTATCCAATCCGCATCCGATCCGTTTGCACCCCTAGCCATAGCTTGTAAACAAGATGCCACTACTCCACTCCCCGTGGTCGGCTGTCAAATAAGGGAAAGCGAAAGCGAAAGCGTATGGACAGAGACTGAAATACAAGAGACCGTGATTTGTTTTTTGCATGAACAGACTTCAAACTTTTCCTTAGATGAAAAAGTATGTATTGTTTTCCGCTCGGGAGCTGTCAGGACCCAGGCGACTCGAACCCTAAGCCGCAAGAAGGGGCCAATCTACTGGCGGCTTCCCTCTGCGACTTCATCGGTAGTGAGGGGTCATCGGATTCTGTGCGTGCGGACCAGATAGCTTTAGGTTTTAGGGCCCTAATAGCTTAAGTTTTGGGTTGTTTGGCATCTTGGCTTAGGCGGTGGCGACACTGAATAAAGAAGCTTCAATTCCTCCCTCAACAAGGCGATCAACTCTATGATTGGTGATTGATTTGGGAACTAGCTTGTCCAAGCGGAGATGTCGTGGCGGCGGCGGTATCTTTGTCGCGGACTTTTGTGTCCTCTGGCTCCGCCGTTGCAACGGTGTCTACTCCAGCGCCGATGCATAGCTTGGGAGGTAGTCGAGGGTGGATGTAGACGGATCATGTGTTGAGTTTGTGGTTGGTAGCTGATAGGTATGGTTTCTTTCTACGACGGCTTAATTGTGCAGGGGTGCCAGGTCTGGAGTTCGATGGTGTGTCTGACTTGTTGCCCTGATGTGATTCATTCAACGACAATGGTTTCGTCTTTAACGAGTCACCTTGGAGGTCCACAAAGCTGCATATCAGTGATGGTCGAGCTCGGATAAGGAGGTGATTTGTCGGTTTTTTCTTTGGTGGCTGCTTTGGTGATACTAGAGGCAGTTGACGGCTTTGGTGTCAAGCTCACGGGATTCTTTGGCCTTAATTGTGATTTTCTTTTTGGCTAGTGTTTGTCTATGTAAAGGCTAGTGATATGTTGTTTTTTCAATTTTGTCATGTCGGTGTCTACATGGTTTGTACTATAATTTTTATAATATAAATGAGACACGTATTATCATAAAAAATTTGCGCTTCACGGGGTAAAGAAGTTATCCTCGATCTGACAAAATTATGGATTGTCTTACCTTGTTCCTTGTTTCGTTTTTCTCCAGCACACCGTTTACACTGCAACGCTCTTGTAGAGTGGTGAAAATGGGAGCCGGGGAGCTCTCCCTGTTGATCTTTAAAAAAGAAAAGTCAGCTAGCTAACAGTTTTTTGGCATAAACTGATCTGTGCCCCAATCGACTTTGTCCATGCCCCAGTCGGCAATCGCCGCCCTGTCCTTGAGAGGACTAGCAAATACTGTAGTACTCCCTCCATAAACTAATATAAGAACTTTTAGAATACTAAAGTAGTGATCTAAACGCTCTTATATTAGTTTACAGAGGGAGTATGTTTCAGTAGTGCATCTGTCCACTGGGTCAAGTCCAACACGAGGCCCCATCAAGAACTGTCAAGCTCCGCGGGCCACGGCACTAGTGGACGACCCGCCGACCCACATGCAATGCACGGACCGGCCCGCCCGTCCCTGGCGTGAAGGAGAGAACCCCACGCGAGATATACGGTGCATCGGGCCATCGGGCCATCTTAAAGAACCTATTTTTATTCAGACTAAAATAGGTCACTTGGATCCAATTTATTATTTCCTTCGATTCAAAGACTTTCGTTGCAGATTTCCTCCATCCCTGAACTGGAAGTTCTTGCCAACTCTCACTTTCCAGGGATTGCCACGTGAGCTCGTCTGATCTCAGATAGGGCAAAGACTACATAAAATAGAAGAATGCCAAACGAGGGAGTTGGTCAAGCTGTAGCGCCAACTACGCACAAGATGCGATTATACGTGCGTCACATGACTCTAATCTAGACATTTACATGACCTCACAGCATGGCACTCATCACTCACACAAGACGTTCAAGTGTCAGAGGCTCGTACACCGTGCCTTGCTTTAGCCTGGCATCATCGCAATATGCAAATGTGCCCGACGCCCGACCCAACGAACGCACCGTGGGGCACGTAGAGTACAGTGGCGCAATATAATACACGTCTATAACGTCA